CTCCAGGTCTCGGTAGACTTTCTTACGCCAAGGGGGTGCAGCTCCGAAGTCTAGTTGTGCAAGTTTAGCCCTGTCTGCCTGCTCGATCATCTTTATGACTTCGATGAAGCGATAGATGTTCGGGTGTCTGTGAGGAAGAGATCTGTTGAGGCGGCTGTGGAATCCCTAAAGACTGTTGTTCGTTCTCTGTCCCTGGGTCTGGTTGTGGTTACAAATTGGCAAGGGAAAGCGTGCATCAAAGTCAACCCTAGTATCAACCATGTAGGTCTTGAATGTCTGGATGCGGTCTGATTCCGGTGACAACTCCATGGCTTCCAACCACGTGTCCTGGACTTGACGTTGAGGCAGCAGCGCAAGACCAGCGGCTCTTCTGGTGAACTGGAATGTGTCTGGGTCTTCCTTGTAAGCAGTGGTAAGTCCAACGTCTTGAGTCTTCCTCCAGATCGCTTGACAGTAATGGAAATACATGTAACATCCTTTTAACTCAGCCTGTGGAAATTCAGCCTACACAGCACGGATAGCAGCCAATTCAAGGTCCGTCTGAAGCCTAAGTGGGTTGAGAGGTCTGTTGAGTCTGCGTAACACTTCTTTCTTCAGGAGACGGAAAAGTCTTATGTAGGTACAGGTCTATATGTTATGCAATGGGTCAAAGACGAGGGGGTAGCTTGAGGAACCAGATCTGGCATGAATAATGTATACTTGATCACAGATATCAGGGCAAGCTGTGAAAGTGCCGTCCATGAAGATGGTGTCAGCAGTTTGCACTGCAGTGAGGTGATCAAGTGTAGAAAAAGCAAGTATCTTGTCATCTTCTCCGTTGTCGATGAGTAGGAAAAGGTCTGACATCTATTGTCTCAGTCCAGCATCCTTCGAGGGCGACATCAGCACGTGTACGAGGCAGAGCAGGTATCACCTTACGGCGATGGCGGTAGAGTACGCTGGACACGGTCGCAAAAGAAGGACGGTAGGGGATAACATCGTTGTCCACCCTGGAAATCTGGTCGTCATAGAGGGCGTGCATTTGGGTCGTTCCTTATCTCGCTCTCTTCCTGAGAGTGCTGAGGAATTTGACTTTATCAGCATCTCCTAATTAAGCTGTTCCATTATTGCTGTAGGATGAGGGTAATTAACCCCTCTACTCAAGTGTCTGAAGAATGACTGTCTGAAGAATGGCTGTCTGAAGAATGGGAGGACACGTGCTTGTGAGGATGTTTTATGGTTTCAGAATTTTACAACCGCCGCCACTTTGAATTCAATCATTGTTTGGACATAACACGGGTATTATCATGTCCTGTGTCATTCGTAACTACTCGCCTCTTTACGTGACCGGCTGCCCGGGATGACACGAGTAGTTACGAATGGTCATGTGTATCACCTTTGTCGCCCACTCAAGTCTGTTTCACACACTGACCAGCAAGGGTTGTAGTCAAAAGGGCCAAAGGACAAAAAGGCCAAAATTTAAAAAGTCAAAAGGGCCATAGACTTAAATCAAAAGGGCCACAGATCAAATCCAAAAATATATGTTTACATGTTTTATTACATTTGTATCAATATGTAGTAACAATATTAATAATATACAGTGTGATCATCATACATTCAGGTGTTGATATGTGATCAAATATTCATAAATAGTTCAAATGTTCATAATTCACACATCTTAAAAGTTCACTATAGACATCACTCCACACATCATGATGCACATCAATCATTCCACTACATACTTAGAACAGGGGTGCAACAGGGCTCATTTCTGCATCCTTGTACATTCCCCATGCTTCAAACAGTTCTTCCTGCTCCTTCTTTGCTGACTGGCAGAGTTTTCCGTCATGCAGCAGCTGTGCTTGTAAGGGTAGGAGGCTGGCTTCCTTTTGGAGAACTGGGATGGTTACCAATTTGACTTGTGGTTGAACTGGTCGTCTTATAAAGCATTCTGAGTCATGAGATCAATCACAACTAATTAAAACGTTAATCTTGTTTAGATGACTGACTAGTGTAATTTTCACCAGTGGCTCTGTTAAAACCTCGTGTAATCATTACATAAACTAGTTGTATGGTTGACTATACGCTAGTACGTTTTGTTGTCATTTTAAGCAACGCTTAATTGTTTGTTTTATTCAAAAATGGCATCATGACATTATTACTTCAAGTAGTAAATTATGGCTATACATTAATATCAAAAGTGTATTTGGATATGAATTATACTTAGATGCTTTACATTCAAACACTGTTAGGTATTTAACTATGTTACGAATTTCGTGTCATAAATTAAAAATTGAAACTGGGCGTTATGAAAATATTGATCGGGAGCAAAGATATTGTATCTACTGTAAAGAAAATAATGTAAATGTAATTGAAGATGAATACCATTTCGTTTTAATTTGCCCAAACATACAGTACATCGAAAACAGCTGATTAAACCTTATTTTATGGAAGAAACCAAGTATGTTGAATTTTTGGAATTATTAAGAAACCCATCTAAAGATAGTATTGCAAAATTATGTAAATACATAAAGTGATGCATGTAAGTACCGAAATGTTTTGTCCAGCCTCCTTTTGTAAACGTAAAAAATTTGCATATTTCAATGGATAACCATATTCTATCATGTATACAGTGTAAAATGATGACGAGGGGCATTGCCCCAAGTCTTTACTGAAAAAACAATCGAACAATCGAACTCATAAAATAAACACTTAATCACCCTGAGATGTTTTAAATAAACAACATTGAGACACTCTGAGTTGTCTAGGATTAGAACTACTTCAACAGCATGTAATAAATTTCTTCTAATCTTACTATTTTCTAAAAGTTTGGCCCTATTGACTTAAGTCTATGGCCCTTTTGACTTTCCCTTGGCCCTTTTGACTTTTTCAATTTTGGCCCTTTTGGCCGTTGGGCCTTTGATCTGTTCCCAACCAGCCATATGAACGGTCAAGGTCACTTCGAACGGTAAAGAACTTCTTGCATGTCAGTAAAACTTGGTACGTGTCATCCTTCAGGAGGGGCGCGTTCTGAAGTGTTTTCATTAACATGTCTTTTTGTGCTGACAGTTCTTTTAAAAGTAGTTATATGTTGCGAAAACTGATGACAAAATATTGTTACAAAGATTTGACCTACTTTCGGTGAATTGAATATGACCTTCCATTTTTAAACCCTGTGATGATCCGATATCTCAAGGATATCATACCATGTGTATCTCCTTCATAACCACCGGAAATGTCGTAGTCATGTCAAAATACTTTGTTTACCGACTCAAGAAGGATATACTGTAGGTGGATGAAACTTGGTACCTGTCAAACTTAGGGCGGGGTCCAGTATAGAAACATTCTTGAGTGACATATAAGTAGTGAGTGTGTTTATTTTTACGCCGCTTTTAGAAATATTACAGCAATATCACGGCTGGGGACACCCGAAATGGGCTTCAAACATTGTACCCATGGACGTACATGTATAAGTAAGGTCGAGGTCACAGTAGACATCAGCCTAAGATCAACGTCTGCCATTTCAGCATAATGCTTTTTTCTTTACTTTTCAAAGACCATTGAGTGAGTGAGTGAGTTTAGTTTTACGCCTCACTCAGCAATATTCCAGCTATATGGCGGCGGTCTGTAAATAATCGAGTCTGGACCAGACAATCCAGTAATCAACAGCATGAGCATCGATCTGCGCAATTGAGAACCGATGATAAGTGTCAACCAAATCAGCGAGCCTGACCACCCATTCCGTTAGTCGCCTCTTACGACAAGCATGAGTTACTGAAGATCAATATTCTAACCCGGATCTTCGCGGGTTCAAAGACTCATGCATGCAGTGATTATATGAATGTGAATACATATAGTTATGACAACCATATGGTTGTCTCAAGCTACTGTGACCTACTTCCAGTGAACAGCCTATGATACTCTTTGCCGCCATTTTGGATCTAGTACCGCAAACTGGAAGCGCTCTTTTCTGTTTCGCTAACGTCAAATTCCCACCAGGTATTGTTTTGTCATAATTTAGTTCGCAATAGGTCGTTCTGATGTAACCATTGGGCAGTCATCAGATTGTTGTGTAGTGTTGGCGAGCACTAAGATCTGATTTTAATTTGATTAGGTTATGAGTGACCCTCATTGAGTGGTCATTTGTAAAGTAGGTACGCTTCTTGGTGTGGGGAACCTACCTTATGTTTGCATAATTCGCTTTCAATTGGATATTAATAATCAGACATTGAGTCTGCTCCTCTCTCCATGTGTTTACTGCATTAAACATGCGTTTTTGCAAGCAGGAAATAGTCTCACTAAACCAGAAGTGCTTACGACTTTGTTATTAATGCAACACAGTTTTTGCTTCAAAGTCATGAACTGAATATGTTTTCCCAAACCGCAAGTGATATGGTTATTAAAGTTGAAGTGCCTTTTTGGCATTAAAGTAGCTTTAGACACAGGCTGTTATGCTTCGAGGTTGTACTTATAGTTGAATGTGTTGTTATTACAAACCTGAAGGGAAGTCATTGAACACATAATTATTATACTTGGTACACTTTGCCTTTCCTTGACTTGTTCTAACAAAACAATAATTTCATCAATGGCTTTATTGCAAATTGAACTCTGACATCTATATTAAATATCCACTATGATTTGATGAACTGTTATTTTTTTATATAAAACTGACATTACGAAAAATTACATATTGCATACAGTGTGCATACAGATGTCATGATTGTATATTTGATCCATTCCATACATCGAATACATCCTAAACTGAACTCATCTTCACTTTTGAGGCGAGAATATACTTGGGAATGCTTGTGTAAGTGCTTCTGCTGAAATAACATTTGATCCTTGAAAGGCAAGAGCGTTATTATTATTCACTGTGGTGGAAGAACTTATCTTCAGCCGTCTTGCATTCAGAGCAGCTGCAAGTGCATCTTCATGTGAAACAGGAGCAGGTTTGCGTGGCCTTGGTGGGGTCGGGGCAGTTAGTCGTGGGCGAGGCGCACTAAAAGACGGTGGAGGTGGAGTCATGGCTGCAGGTGGGGGAGGGGGTGGAACCATGGCTGTAGGTGGTGGTGGGGCCATGGTCGCAGGTGGGGGAGGGTGGAGCCATGGACGCAGTAGGAGGTGGAGGTGGGGCCATGGCTGCAGGTGGGGAGGGGGTGGAGCCATGGACGCAGTTGGGGGTGGAGGTGGGGCGATGGCTGCAGGTGGGGAAGGGATGGAGCCATGGCCGCGGGTGGGGGTGGAGCCATGACTGCAGGTGAGGGTGGGGCAATGGCCGCAGGTTGGGGGAGAGGGTGGAGCCATGGCCGCAGGTGGAGGAGGTGGGGCCATGGCCGCAGGTGGGGAGGGGTTGGGACCATGGATGAAGATGGCGGGGATGGGGGTGGGGCAATTGCTGCAGATGGCGGGGGTGGGGCTGCAACTGCCGGTGGTGTTGGTGCCGATATAGTTGGTGGTGGTCCCAAGGGAGGTTTGTCAGGGGCAGCTCGGTTTACCTGTTCGGAGGCACTGGTACCAGAATGAACTGAAGATGACAAGAGTCGCGTTCTGGATGATGGTACCACCTTTGCAACAGGTTTTGTACGCTTTTTCTTCGGGCTTCTGGATGTTGATATAGAACGACTCCTGAGCTTATCAGATGTTTTTTTCTTCTTTCGTCTTCCCTGATGTTTTTGTGTAGAGTCATCCGAAGATGACTCACTTGTAGTTTCCCTACTTCTTGTATTTTCTCTGTAGTGTTTTCTTCTTTGACTGTCTTGATAGGCGCGACTTGCAGCAGACAGTAGCAGACTGAGGGATGACATCTCCAGGTCGTCATCTTCATCGGAATGTCGACTCTTCTGAAATATCAGTTAGATTTCTGCTATACAAATGGATACAAACATGTTTCGGTTTTAGTTGTCACAGACCTTTCCTTTTTCAACAAATGAACCTGCACAGAAAGAACTATATTCCACAGACATATTTGGGTCACCCTACAAGGGAAACAGTTATAAGTATTCTATCATCAGAAGACGAATCTGTCCATGTAAAATTAGCCCTGTTTTTAACACATTCGAAGTCATTTGAAAGAAGAGTCGTCTGGTGTCTCCTGACTAATTTCACAATGTTATGATGCTTTCCTCTATTTTCATTGTCCATATTTTGCCTGTCATTATAACACTATGCATATGGGCCGGAGGCTTTATGTACAATAAAACATCTTGATCTCGTGTCATTATAAACTTTTAAATATGTCTACGTGGATTTAGAAGTGTCTGACCTTGTAACATGTATATATTAACAGATCTAGCTAGCCACCACATTTTGTCTCCTTACCTTTATAAAGGCCTTCAGTCAAGGACAGTTCAAAAGATTGTCTTTGTTTTTCATTTTAAGGTAACGTTTAATCTTCTTGTAGTGTTTCTTTGTGGTATATACCAGTGGGTGTTTCGGGTTTAGGTTGGTCCCCAACAACTAATAAGGCCCGTAAGTAGGTCACGGCACCTCGCAAGACCTTACCTTGTTTAGTACTTCCGGCGACAAACAAGGTTTCATACCTTTTCGAAAGTGTGCCAGAGAAACTGATTTTTTCCAGGTGTTGTCATTGGTTCACACAAAAAGAGGCCCGTACCAGACATGTCATGTGAACGACATTTCTCTCACAACTGATTATGAAGTGAAGAGGATGTTTGTTGAAAATCTGATGTTAGCTCTGTGAAGTCAAATGCAAAGAATATTCGAAGGTATTCCAAGACATTACAACATTCACTCCAAGCAATCCCCTGTCGTCCAGGAGACCCACAAGAAGTAAGCGGTTAGTATTTCCGCGAGATTTGCAACCCACAGAAGGAAACCTGCAACACCAACAAAGTTACAATTCCATAAAGCTACTCGCCTTCATCCGCTTGGGTTTGGCTGGTTTGCGTCTTGCGTCATTGCCTCTGGATTTGCAATGGCTGAAAGAAAAAAGAGACGCAGATACAACCACAAACTTGCACAAAGTAATTGAGAATAACTATAACACCAAAGAAAACTGTGAAAACATTATGATGGTTCATGGGCAATTTTTATTGTCTAAATAGTATATATCATTTTGGCAAAATTACATCTTATATTATTGTAGTTGTTATTTGACAGACTGAATTATTATGATTTTAGAAGGGTAAAAATATGTTGAAAATAATGTAACCATGTAAAATACATACTTTAATATAAAAGTAACACAACACAGAAAAAATCAGTGTTAATTGTATTTGTAAACGTCTTTATTGCGAGTCAATCTGTCACAGAAAAATGAATCTTACGAATTTGACAGACGTATTGGATAAAATGTCTGCCATTTTACAAACCGAAAGTATCCATCTTCGAGTATCTAAAATATCCAAATGCAGACAAAATGCATTGCCAAATCTTAATTTCGACCACAATACTAAATTCTTAAATGAACATGAACTTGAGCCTTTGCCTGCAGTGCTCAGAACCACGTGCTCAGGTACGTTATCTACTTTACATGCCTTCTGTTTTCACAAATTAGTCAAATCATTTTATTCACCCAAAATGGATGTTTCATATTGTTATGCGTTGTATTCGTGATACATTATGACCATGGTGATGTTGTACAAAGCGATCTCCGCGATAAGCCAAGGTGATCGTAACTCCTCCCCTTCCTCAACATAAACATTCGACAGTAGAGGTGAGCCTGTTTGTGGTACAGCAAACGAAGCCTTCAGAGCCGCATTACATATTTTATGTACGCTTCACCAACGTTTGTCCCCACAGCAACTACATGACATTTTTGTACTTACATATATATTAGGGTGAGATGAAGCATCAGGAAGAGGAAGATCAAAGCAACACCACCACCTATTAAGATCAATGCCACGTGGTTTTTCACATACGTCTCTAGATCTGTAAACAAATGGCAATGATATACAGTACTTACACTTTCAGCATGGTTGACGAAAAATCATTGTGTCAATGTACTTATAATCTTGTATTCATTAGAAATCGAATGTATTGCTATTTGAACATTACTGTTTATCATATGAATGAAAAATATACATTTGATCACTATGACTGTTTTACCAATAATAGCAACTCAACAAGGGACATTACCAAACAGCTATTGTATACTATTTAATGGCATAATACCAGTATTACCAGAAAGAATTCCAGTGTGTTTTTCATCCCCTGGGCTTGTTTGATTTCCATTGTTCTGCTTGTGTTCCTTAGTTTGGGGGGTATTCTTTTGTTGAATAGGTTCCTTTTCTTTTGGCACTACAGAACAATAATAGTGAGTCAGTGATTTTGGGTTCAGACAGCTCTCAGCAAATATTACCGTGATAACACAAGAAACTAGCTTCCCGCACTGTACCCTTGTACCCTATGTGTTCAAGGTGAGGAGGAAAACTTTAAATACTAGGTCACACCCATTTCCGGAATAATTATAAAATAAAGCCATATGCCAATCAATAAGCCTCGATTTGTGGTAATGACAAACATTCTTGGCCTTTCTCAACACACTTATTAAATAAGCCTAATCTTGTTTGAGTCCACCATAAAGCACGGAAAATGCCTAATGGAGGGTGATTTACATTTTTAAAACTATGTTTTTTCAAAAGTTATCAATTACCAACTTGTGTTTTTCTATTCCTTCAAAGATCATCAGATGACAGCAACCTAAGAAAGCTGTGGCTTCCTGTACCTGGCCCAAGTTACCCAGGTAACATATGGTTAGCATTTTTGGTCATTCCACAGCTGACAAGCCATGAACTGTATTGCACTACATTGATTTAAACTAGCCACAAAAAGTATTATGATGATCTGGGACATTATCTACTTTTAGTGTATACCTATACCTCAATGCAAAATCATGCCAAATACACACATTCCACCTCCAAATTCCACTTACTATTTGATCCTGGCACATTCCAAGCATGTAGAAGACTTTCACCATCATCAAGTTTTTCCAAGTCCTAAACAACAAAGCATCAACATATCATGGTTATGTTATTCATATCCCTATCCTCACAATATTAATATATCAATAAATAGCACTGACCTCTAGATAAGAGTAAATGAGATACTTCACACATACTTGGACTGTGTGGAAATTCTTAGGGCAACAACACATATAAGAAGGTACCTTATTCCTACTGTAAATGATTTAATGGCCACATATGAATATAATGTATATGTCTAGAGACCCTCAATTTGCCACAATATTCAGATGTTAATCCAAGATTATACTGCTAATATCCACTGAATATCTGTACATGTCCTGCTTGCTATCCTAAACCAGCTCTGTAGCCATGTCAGTCCTAAGTAATTAATATGTTACTGTTGCTATATTTGTGACTTAGTCTTGTCAGATGATCTTTGCAATGTGGGCTTTGCCACAGCCATCAAGTATGTGAGACTTCCAAGAGTCTTTATAAATGTCCATTGTGTAAATAAGGGGAAAAGAATTTCATTGACGGCTAATCATTTTCAAACTGTTTGGACAATATGTCTAAGATCACCAACCTGACAAAGGCCATATGACAGCAAAACTATTATCCATACGACACCTCCATCTGCAATAATAATACAAAACTCAGTTCGAGCTCACCATGTTCACAAAACAGGCGAACCTTTGGACTTCATTATTAATGTGCAACATCCCCCACGCCCCTTATCCAAAATCCTGAATCCGACCCTGCAAGTACACAAGTATTCACTCCTCGGAACACTTCTGTTGTAGCAATATCACAGGTAAATATCGTCGGACCATAGTGCTTACAAGGGCTATAACGATGGGTGTTGCGTCACATAGACATGGTAAAATCGTGTATGAATATGATGGTTTGTGTTTAGGATAAAGTTTTGTTCAGAAGTTAGTGACATATTTTACGATTGTTCATGCGACAATGTTCTCAAGTGACCGGATAAAAACCCATAAAAAAGGGGATAACTGACACCAGCAGATGACGGCTGCATGCGGGTTGTTTCCGATAGGCTGTACTACTGGACATTCGTGTTCTGAATAGGGTCTTGAGCATAAACAAGAGCATAGATACTAGAATGCCTCATGTAACAATCATACCGCAACATTATACAGTTTGCGAAGACACTTGAAACACAGAAAATACCTAAGTCTACAATTAGCATTCCAGATTCATGTCGGTACCTTCCTCAGAGGAGGACGGATCTACAACATTGAAACAGCAACAAATTCAATAGTCGAAATAATATGATTTCTTGTTTGAATATATGTATCTCTCAGAACTCACAAACACGGCAGGAGAAAGGGCTCAGGGGCATTCCAAAATATTGATTAAAACAAGGAATGTCTCGAAGTTGAAAAACACATTTTGGCAGACATGTTTATGAACGCCATTTGTAGAGAAGGACAAGCTCTATTTCAGTGCGTGACATCTCCTTCACCTCCGGTAACGTAGGCAATTGCTGTAAGGAGTTTGACAGGAAGGACGCCAAGGGAGACAATGCTAATTTCTAACGCTTCATACTTCACATCCTAGAGTGGCTTGTCAAGGCATTTATTTCTAAATTGTTGGTTGGTTATTTGAATTTTGAAATAAGATACAACGAAATATGGGCACTAAAATGAGTGAGTGAGTAATGGCGCTTCACACATTGTACCCATGTGGGGAATCGAACCCGGGTCCTCGGCGTGACGAGCCAATGCCTAACCACTAGACCACCTCACCGCCACCACTAAAATGAAAACGCATAGCCAGATATGTGGCATGGAAACGTTTTGGCAATCTGGAACGCCGCCTTTTACATGCCTCATCATATGATGTTGGCGTGCATCGATCACGTGGTTCTCATGTGTTTGAAATATATTTTTTCAACAAAAAGAAGAGGATACTCAAAGGTAACAGAGTGGGACAAAATACATCGAGGCACCGAGGTATAGATTGGTGATTATGGTTGGATACGAACAAGGAAAGATATGCAACATGAAACTGGCATTGGCATTGGCATTGGCCATCCTGTCAATCGCTGGACAGTATACAGAAGAATGCTTCGGTGCAATATCAGAGTTTACAGACCATAGGTGTAACGCTGGTACTAAAGGCATTGTTGGGCCCGAACACTGCGACACTGATATAGCACAGAAACGGTCAACTGACCGAGTCATGTTTTATAAATGGCCGCAGATTCCAGATGGTCAGAGTAGATGGAAGTGTTCGTATCTACCGATCGAGAACAAACGTCAGCTTGTTGCAGTCAATGAGTCCACGTCTGGAAATGGCGGCAACTGTGAATCTCTGTCAAAAAAGATCTGGTGATTTTTGGAAGGAACAACCCGTAACATCGACCACGTTCTCCGCCAAGTCACACTATTCTTGGAAAAGATCCTGTCTCACCAAGATAACGCGAGGCCTTATACCGTCTTGTAAGAGATTTCATGTGAAAGCAAACGTGAACGTCCGATCACCAGAGTTATCACAAAAAGAACACATGTAAGTTCCCTTTGACTGTCAAACAAGAGCTTGGCCAGTTCGGAATTAAGGAAACACATGTCGTATTATGGGGAATCACATTTCATGTGACCTGATGTGCTGAACCTTCTGCCTCTGTCGAGTTTAGACGTATATTGCTGCCCGTGATAGACCAACACGATACTGACTGACTCTTTAAATTCTGCAGATTTAATGTTTTGACTTTACCACTGATGGTTCATTCAATACCACATCACCCGTGAAGATCCGGGTTAGGATTAGTCTTCAGCAACAGAACTTGTGTAAGATGCGACTAACGGGAGGGATCGGGTGGTCAGGCTCGCTGACTTACTTGACACATGTTACGGTATCTCATTTACGTAGATCGATGTTCATGCAGTTGATCACTGGATTGTCTGGTCCAGACTCGGTTATTTACAGACCGCCGCCATATAGCTGGACAATTGCTGAGTGCGGCGTTAAACAACAACCAAACCAAATCATTACCACATCCTTGAAATTATAAACACAACTTTGTCATTCTTGTCACACCTTGTAATGATGGTGTTACTTTATGGCTTTTGAAAACACACCTATCTTCCTTGGCATTTGTCCTGTTTTGTTTTGGTGAAAGTGTTTGTTGGTAACGTTTCTTTTCTTTGTCAGTGTAGTAAAAATACTCGTATTTTCTGAAAATCAAAATCCGTTTTTAATACTTTCCAGTTCCATACATTTCTAATATACAGCATTTAATTATGTTGGATGAAGCATACATGGCCAGCTTGTAATGATGTTAAGGTTGAGGAGCAAAACTTCTTTGAACTCATGGAGGGAAATATTCATTGTTCCAAAAGAATGTATAACTTTGTTTTTAAATGGATGTTCTTAGATTTAGATTTTATTGCTTGTCAAAAGTTGGCACCTATTATTAAAGATTAATTCTGGTGTAGCCTGCCTTCAACGTCTTAGCTGGAATATTACAATTTTTTACGAAAAATTCAGGGAGTACTGGGGATTCTGACACTTCACAGTATATCTCCTGATAAGCTTGTCTTTCAGTTTTTCAGATTTGTTGAAGATTCTGCATATTTCAATAGAAAGTAAGATCTTATGAACCTCCTTGAAGCATTTGGCAGCAGTACTATTTATGTCCAATCTGTTCCGAAGAGAAGCAGTTGCCAAGTACACAGGCTGTATTCTTCACGAAAACGTGCAGCAAGATTGGCATTTTATATTGTGAAAATATTGATATTCTCAAGTTATTACCTCATTGTTAGAGTTGAGAGGGACAAACGCCAATTATAATTAGAGAGCTACAATATACATGGTTAATACTGGTGCCGTAATGCATTGTGAAACAAGAGGGCAAAATAGCCCATTGAACTTGTACTCAAAAGTCGTATAACTTTCACAGTGAATAATTATTTGAAAATATAATGGTGTTACTGAGTATACTTTGCAAGAAAAGATCCCTAGAAGTCTGTTGCTTGTCTTTGGGTATTACAAAGATGGTCTGGCTGATTGTAATATCAAGCAACAGTTTGTATGCTCTAGACTCACATACATGTATTAACAGGCCATCACAACAATGACAACATATTTCTGAACAGGGCATTAACATGAACAAACACATAATTACAAAACACACAAACATTTTTTCAGGAAGATGCAATTTTATTGCCAAAATGCTCCACTTGTGACAAAGAGAAGCATAAGAAGCACGGTAAGGTACATAGCATAGATGCAAATGTTGACAGCTTAGATGATGGAGGCAACATGTCAGCCATCAGGTCACAGCACCCATGGGTCATCTCAAACATTACCATGGCATTTAATGTGGATGTAAGAAGTGAATACAGGTGTGGTCTAATGATGATACATTCTTTAAAACAAGGCTTGAAATATGTTGTGCAAACATGTTCTTTTCTGTAACTGAAAATTACAATCTCTAAATAGCATGGCAAATTTTGAGACAACCCCCTTTGTGAAGAATGAATTTAGGTACTCAGACATATAAATACTATTCTGTGTTCCAGCTAAACACAGCTGACAGGAAAATATCACATCCCAGCTCTCAAATCTGTACAAAATCCACATTTCAATGGCGCAATTTTGAACTTCTACCAGTATCATAACTACTGCCATGTCACTTCTCACATATCATCTCAAACATACTTCTGAATCCAGACATGGTAGTTCCCTTCCCATTCACATATTTTCAGGAGAAATAAAGAGGGCCGAAAGGAACCTGTTGAGGAGATCAAGGACTGGCCAATCTTTAAACAGGGTCAGGTGACATAGAAATGGTTGTTCAATGCCTATGTTCCCCTTAGTGGCACCTAAATCGCACAAACATTAACAATATTTTTGAGATAAAGTGAGTGTCTCTTCTATCATTCTATTTCCCATTTGTAGATACTGTCTCAGATCTCTCCGTCCTTTATTATAATTAGTTGCCAGTCCCTTGAACAAATATTCGTTTCATCTTTATTGTTCTCTCAACTGATGACTACAGTCCGTTTGTCTCAAAATTGGACCGATGAATTGCAATTTAACTCGAAAACTAATAAACATAAAATACTCAATGAAACACTGATCATAATCAAAATGTCAGACCAACTCTGTGAGGATTTTGCAGAATTTATATCCTAAAAATAAAAAAGTTGTTTAACAAACTATCATTAAAATATTGACACAGGTCACTATTTGTTACGAGGGAGGAGTGCAGAGAAAGAGACAGCCAGGTGTTCGAGAAAGGATGGAGACGGCACAGCACAGGTTAATGAATCAATAACTTTGTCGGCACTTGTGCACGTGCTTCTCTAACACCTGGCTGTCCTTTTCTCTGCACTCCTCCCTCGTAACAAATAGTAAACTATGTCAAAATTTTATTGTTAAACAACTTTTTAAATTTTAGGACATAAATTCTGCAAACAAATCACAGAGTTGCCCTGATGTTTTGATTATGATCAGAGTTTCATTGAGTATTACATGTTTATTAGTTTTCGAGTTACATTGCAATTCATCGGTACAATTTTGAGCCCGATGGACTATAACTATCACATCCCAAATATTATCTGCATACAGCCTACCTACTATATGCAGCAGTGCAGCTACAGCATTCAACGACTGAAACTTCATCATCTTTTATTACCTGGAATTAACAATAACATCACCTGATTATGACTTAATGAACACGAAAGATAACCAATATTATTGGAAAACTAATTTTAACAATATCTTACTTTGAAATACATAAATCAAAGTATGAAAGTTTTAGATTTAAGACCGACATATATACATACATTCCAGGTATAATCTAAATGTGAAATACTTCATTTCTGTTGACTGACTGACTGACTGAGTTTAGTTTTACGCCGCTTTTAGCAATATTCCAGCAATATCACGGCGGGGAACACCAGAAATGGGCTTAACACATTGTGCCCATGTGGGGAATCGAACCCGGGTCTTCGGCGTGACGAGCCAACGCTTTAACCACTAGGCTACCCCACCGCCCCTCATTTCTGTTGAAGAGACAGGGGTACTGTATATGAATTTCTTTATTGAAAACTGAAAGTACAGTATAGAAATTGACAGTCAGGACTATTTGGACTCTGGTTTAAAATTAAATCTAAAATTTCCTAATGGATCAAACATGTTTACAATTGTTTCCAGACATTGTAAGGGTTGCTTCCATTAGGCAGGTATTCTGAAAAATTACATTATCTTCCAAGATAAGAAACACAAAACATCTTACAACGAGTTTATACAAAGTATCTCTAGAATTATATATCTATCTATTGGTTAACAGTGCTTAATCAATTTTACCTTCTTACAGTCTGCCTCCATTAACATTTATCACAAGGAAAGACAAAACTAAACAAATTATGAAAGCATGATAAAACTAGATATCCCTTCCAGTATTAAGCACTGTAATTTGAAAAAAAAAACATTTGAAACTTACCAATGCCACACCATCATATCAACACTTTGATTAAACAGACAAACAATTAGTTTTCACTATACTGTAAATCATGGCACTATGAACTATCCACATGCTTGGGTTGGAAACATTCTCACTGTGGATACATTTCTTTCAAATACATAGAATAACATCAGTGACAAGTACTTCATGATAATTATTATTATACAACATCATTGATATACCTCATGTGTATCAGTTAAAAATGAAATGTTTCATGAATCAACATGGTTGTTAATGTGTACAAGATTTACAAAGGACATGTTTATTGTGAACAATCTCACTGATGTAGTTTCTTGTCAGTGGATAAGGTATGTATAATGCACAATGGAATACACATAGCAAACTATTAAAATGCATATGGAAATAAGAAATATGCTTATCAACATATACATTATAATGCATAGACAAACATGTGATACGAATTGTAACACATGCCATTGAAAGCAATAGGCATTATACATAAATAATATTACACGACATTGTTATTAAACCGCTTAGCAGTGGCTGTCAGTTACTCAAAAACAATGATTGACACTATGTGACTAGACTACACATACATGCATCAAATACATAGCCAGCATGTCCCCCTGCCCTCTGCAGGGGGTAAATTAGTTCCATGTTGCAGATACTTCTAGCAATGAACCCTCTACACAAAGGACCAACAAGGACAATGGGAAGTAGGCATCAATGGCGTTAGTGTACACCACCCATATATTCATCCTTAAGTTAGTAAACACATCTTTTGTTAAAAAGAGAATCAAATTTGAATTTTGAGAAATTATATTTGCATTTGAACTTCAAGTATATTCTTGTTCCTCTCTACTGATTCCTTAATACAATAATCAGATTGTGAAGTAGCCAAATTAATACAGCCCAAATGTTTAGAAGGACACATGATGCTATGATGTTCTCATGCAAAATTGAGCTAACTTCATTATTGACCATATTGACATCTCAGCATACTCGAAGAAGTTTTGAAAGCACAATATTTGTTGCCATATAATACATACTGCTCACTTATACTTAACTCCAGCAAATCAGAGGCTGTGTTTGTCTCCTCTTACATGCAGGAACAAATTACCAATTTGGTGTGTTCAACCAACAGCTGAGAAAACAATTCAATGGTATCTGAGAAATCAGAAATGAAGACTTCTTGTATTTGGTAAACTTGATAATTACATAAAAACATCTCTTTTAGACAGCATTAATGCATCCTGTATAGGATGCTTGTTTAGTAATAAAGTAAAAATAACAGTGTACTAATTCAATGAAATCTCACCAAAAGTAGACTTTTGTTGTTGTTTTTTTTCCTGCTACTTTTGGAGCAAGCAGATCGGTGTATCAGATATATAAAAAGAATAAGGGTCATGTTCAGCTTAAAGAATGTGTATCTCCCATCAGTAGTATACACACTTATCATAAGTGCCGTCAACTTTGATAAACAAGTAACATTGTTAGGTTTAACCTTTTAAAAAGAAAATCAAATCAATCATTCACATACAATGACTCAGAGTCACAGCATAACAAGCAATAAAACCATAACAAAATGCCTCATTTGATGCTTTAAACAGAGGACATTGCAAAATAAACATAAAACAACATGGGATAGACTGAGATTGACACTTGTGGCCAATATATCTCGTACTGCTCCCTTAAAATAATCTCTAACACCATGGAAGTAGTAATTTGTCCTCCAATAACTTAACATTTCACCTGTGATTGGTCATGAAATGAGTGAGGAATGATATATATAGCACTAAGCATGAACAGTGCCTTTTGGAGGACACACTATAACACAAACTTGAAACAAAGAGGATTACTTTGTCAATATTCACCCTTGTCTTTATCTATGTCCTAACAAATCTTCATGGCTAAATTCCTGAATACAAATTGAAACAAATCATTTGTTTTGCATCAAGGTAGCCAAGAAAAATACATTTTGTTCTGAATGAGACATTTTTTACTATTTTCAGTGCTTGCATATGAAAGACTTACCATATTCACTGTAATATGCTTCTTTATGGCCGAGAAAGGGGGCACTTACAAACAAACATACACAACTTTTATTTGTTTTTGGAGATCTTGAACAAAAAATGCAAATATGGACATTACCGGTATGTAAATTTTTCAGGGGTGTTACAAAGATTATTAAGACATTAGTCTGGGGGCACTAATAAGAGCATTGCCCTTGCCAAGGCAAATACAGTATTCTGAATACTTGGTGACAAAATTACAATTTGAAAAAGTAGTAGTGCAGGAAAGTCTTAGGAGGAAGAGAAGAAACAGTGTTATGCAGTCAGCAACATAAAAGATGGAACTCCAAATTCTTATTTTTCCTATTCATACCTCATTTTCAAGTGACCCAAAAGTTTGAGATATTTTGTGTTGCTTGCCTTGTTATACAGCTGCCTTGTCCAGGAGTTCCACTCAGCTGTATCCTTCACTGTGTCCATCGTGATAGACATTTATTTGCAGGGTCAGCAAAAGCATAGAATAGCTTATACATATTACACATTCCCAGCCTTTTGATTCACATAGAAATTGCAACTAGCTATCATTTGTTCGTAAGAATAATGGGAAACAATATTCGCTTATTCCTGCTTACGAATATCCAACTTTCAGAGGTTTCATAATGGAATCAGTCCAGACTTGTTCTTTTTTAAAAGGAGCCCCCAAACATATTTTAAAGTAAGTAAAATAAAATATGCTTTGATTGACATATTTTCAAATATTTTTGTTTTTATTTTGTACAGAGTTACATAGTTCTTTATGAAAACTTAACTCTTAACCTCAAACATTCTTCAATTTATTAAAAACATGCAACATGACTGATCATGAAAAATAAATTGGCATTAGAGACACAAAAGTAACTGCTTAAGATAAAGTTTTATTCCCCATATGCCCATTATTTGGAGAAATCAATAGAATCTGTTAATTTTATTTGTTTCAATCGACAGATTCAAGTTATCTCATTGACTTAAACCATGGAGAGAAACAACTTTTATGGATAGGCATCTCCTTTATTGTAATGGATGCGATGTGTCGGTGTAGGTGCTAACACCGTTATCAAGCAAGTGGTGATAAGGGTGTTAGCATCTACACTGAAACATCGCATGCAATTATTGCAATAAAGAGCTGTCTATCCATATACATTGTTTCTTTTCATCATAGCAGCTCTGAATGCCACCCAAAGAAAACTGAAACCATGTTTGGTTTCCAACCTAATTTGCCTATAATTCACATAGAAATTGCAACTAGCTATCATTTGTTCGTAAGAATAATGGGAAACAATAGTCGCTTATTCCTACTACGAATATCCAACTTTTAGAGGTTTCATAATGGAATCAGTCCAGATTCAGCATAATGACCGAAAGTTGCATTGGTTTTACTTGTTATAAATGCGCAGACAGAACATCCAGCTAATGCCCTGCTAAGAATCAGCTGAAAGAACAATAGTGAGATCATGATAGCTTAAAACATGGTAGCACTACCTTCATCTTGTTCTTGCTCCGGAACATCACCATATTTGTTTACACAAACTGTTAGTTCTTGCAACCGAGCACAAGCACCAGAACAGTGATATAACGGTTAAGATGTGTATAAAGTTTAGCTTGTATTTTCCCCTCAATTAGATATGAAACCTATAAATTCAGATGATTTGATTACATGCAACAGACATGCAGGTGGTTTTAAAGGTAAATGTGTACTTGAAACAAGGTGTAGAATGTAAACTAAACAGAAAATATTTGTGAAATTTGGAAGTTGTTGAATTATTGTGGTTTGAAATTGTGTACAAAGGAATAAATTACATGAAATCACAGCAATTGAATAGCAGAAAATGCCATTTTAAGCACAAGGTAGTTGTGGAAAGATGACTTTTACTGCCATTAAGTTCAACACGTGTTGAAGCACATCTAACATCTAATGCCATGCTTGAAAGACATTCATATATATATACTATGATCATTTTAAGTAGATATAATTGTGACAAATATTAGTCATTTTTAGATTCCTTGCAACAAATCATAATTAGTTCAGGTGTTACAATTATCATACAAGTGTGATATTGTCACAATGCAGTTGTACAACTACCAGTTCTTATCATGAAATGGCGTCTCTGAAGGTATACTGTGTAACAGATATCTTCCGTTACAGAAGGATCCAAAATAAATAGAGGCTTATTCCAAAGACAAACCATACAGTCAAGCTAAAAATGAATACAATATTGAAATATATATCTCAAAGTGAATCAGGGTGTATATACTAAAGATATAAAAGTTGGTTCAGCATTCAAAACCATAGCTTACGTTACATTCAATTACCCTGGCAGCTCACAACTCATTCACAGTTTTAGAAAATATGAATGACTACAATCCTAATCTAAATGGTACTGCATCATGGGCAGTCTAGAACTGTTAGAGCAAACTTTAAACAACATACTTTGTTTTTAACAGTGCTAGTGGTACATAACATAAATAAAGATTTGGAAAGAACTTCTTTTCCTGACACATTTAAACTAGCTTTAAACTTGCAGATTGAACAGTTGTGACCTCCCTGAAAACACCATCCTTCAAGAATTAGTTCTTTCTTGAAGCTATGTATTTTAAATAACATTAAACAATTTCAGAAAAAGACTGGAGTTGCTTGCTTTGCTGATCTGATCATAATTTGATACAGTCACACTACTTGTAGGTCTGAAGTTAATGTAACGTGAACTATTATTTTCAGTCACTCACAAACTCAGCCTCATGACAAACACATTGAAAAATAAACAAACAACTAAGAAAAATGTTCATGAAATATAAACCATATCATAAAGCTATTGTTAAACATTTGTTCACAAATATGATTAAACTTTAGAAATTCTAACATGCACGCAGAATAATATAGTCAGTAATTCAACAGTTTCTTAACCATCTAATTGTTATTCTTAAACAAGAAATATTAGCTTAAAACACATCTGAGAATAGTTTTAGCAATTCATATTAGCACAACTCAGTCATAATGCCTAATGACTGACACTTAACTTCTATTAAATTATCTACAATTGGAATTCAGAATTACATGTAATCAAGGGATGTAATCCCCATTAAGGGGAGGTAATCCAATCAGACAAGCTGTGGTTGTGATCCTGTGACTTCTATGATATCTGACTGCTTAAGCTGATGAAGACTGAGGCTGGTCTTCTTTAAACCATTGCCTGTATTGTTTTGTACACATTCATCCATGCCTTGACACATCAGCCTATCATCATACAGAGAAAATCTCCCCTTCTTCATATTCACTGGCGTTTTGATACGCTTCTTGATTTTTTCACTGGGATCTGAGTTTTCGTCTGGTGGTTTCAGGGCAACATTTGGTGCTGAACTGCCCATGCTCGTAGGTCCAACTACAACATAAGGATTTGGTTGGGAAGCATAGTTGTGTCCACGTAACGACAGAGAGGTCGGACGTCTCTTCTGCCCATCAGCAATGTCAAATAATTTAGTCTCCTGCCACCTCGACTTGCCAGTATGTGCAGGGCTCAAGTCAGAAGTGCTCTTTGACTGCCCAGTGCCTTTCAGTCGGACAACAGACTGCTGTCCAACATTGGAGTTTTTGAGTTTTGCCACCCCTACTTCTGCAAATCCAAGTCTGTTTTCAGGATACCTTCCCTCAGATGATGACCCAGCAGCCTCACTCTGCCTGTGTGCCAAGGGCATTTCCTGCAGGGCCAGATTACTGGGGCGGACAAAAGCGTGTCCATTTTGTAAGCATATTTCTGTCTGCACTGGTTGCACCACTGTTTTGGGCAGCGTATTGGCCTGATTCAGGAGGCCAGAACTGTCCTCATTGACACTGTGATTTGATTGGCTTTGATCCGGTTCCAAATTAATTGAACTTTGATTACGTGTGTTACTCTTCAGTCCGAAGAAATTCCAGGAACTTAGTTTTAAGCCAAGTTCTTTAGGTTTGATAAATTTACCAATTTTTTCACGAAGAGATTTCCCCTCATTAAGATGTCTATATGGAACTCCGTTCCCGGGCACATTGGCAACTTTGGGTCTAACTGCAGGGACCTGAACCTGATTCTGCAAGTAGGGAATTGGTGGATTTCTGTGCTGGTTCAGTGCATCATTCTGAACCAGTGAAGTCTCTAGGTTGTCTCCGACAGAGTCATACGTGTTTTCACTCAACTGATTCACACTGGCCACATCCATCCCCGGGCCGAGCAGTGTATTGCCGGAGACGGCCAGCTCCTCGTCACTTCGCTTATGGGTGTTCCTCGCTACAGTCGGGTTCCGCCCCTGGTGAGGCTGCAGGATTACATTGTTTCTGGCTATTGTAATGTTGTTTGACTTTGGTAGTGGATCTGATTCACTTGGTGTAACTGGAACAACAGTTTCTGTGGTGGATGCTGACACACTCCGATCCTGGTACCAGCTTCTGTGGTTTTGACTATAGTTTGGTATTTCTCCATTTCTGACAACACCGTTTCCCAAGAGGGGTGCACTGCTGTTCTCTGTGGGAGAGCTAACAGAAGATCGATAGTCGACCATGTTAGCAGCGTAAAGATCTACGTTGTGACTTTGATCATGATTCAGTCCTTGTGAGGATTTGCCCAAGTAGCTCTGTGAGGTGATGTTCACTGTGGGGTTGATAGTTGGTGTCATACCTGGCAGCAGAAACAAACAGTGAGTGAGTACGTGAGTCAGGGAGTTTTGAGCTATAATATACGCTCATTTGTCTCAAGACAGGGAACAATATGTAACCTGGCCTGCAGCAGGTAAACCAGCAACTGATAAAGTGTGCACTGATACCCGACAAATTTGTGTCCTGTGCCCATGTAGACATACCTCTGTGTTTTGTGTCCTGTGCCCATGTAGACATACCCCTGTGTTTTGTGTCCTGTGCCCATGTAGACATATCTGTGTGTCCTGTGCCCATGTAAACATACCTCTGTGTCCTGTGCCCATGTAACATACCTCTGTGTCCTGTGCCCATGTAAACATACCTCTGTGTCCTGTGCCCATGTAGACATACCTCTGTGTCCTGTGCCCATGTAGACATACCCCTGTGTTTTGTGTCCTGTGCCCATGTAGACATATCTGTGTGTCCTGTGCCCATGTAGACATACCTCTTTGTCCTGTGCCCATGTAGACATACCTCTGTGTCCTGTGCCCATGTAGACATATCTCTGTGTCCTGTGCCCATGTAGACATATCTGTGTTTTGTGTCCTGTGCCCATGAAGACATACCTCTGTGTCCTGTGCCCATGTAGACATATCTCTGTGTCCTGTGCCCATGTAGACATACCTGTGTGTTTTGTGTCCTGTGCCCATGTAGACATACCTCTGTGTCCTGTGCCCATGTAGACTGTGTCCTCTGTGTCCTGTGTCCTGTGCCCATGTAGACATACCTCTGTGTTTTGTGTCCTGTGCCCATGTAGACATACCTGTGCGTTTTGTGTCCTGTGCCCATGTAGACATACCTGTGTCCTGTGCCCATGTAGACATACCTCTGTGTTTTGTGTCCTGTGCCCATGTAGACATACCCCTGTGTTTTGTGTCCTGTGCCCATGTAGACATACCTCTGTGTCCTGTGCCCATGTAGACATACCTGTGTCCTGTGCCCATGTAGACATACCCCTGTGTCCTGTGCCCATGTAGACATACCTCTGTGTTTTGTGTCCTGTGCCCATGTAGACATATCTGTGTGTCCTGTGCCCATGTAGACATACCCCTGTGTTTTGTGTCCTGTGCCCATGTAGACATACCTCTGTGTCCTGTGCCCATGTAGACATACCTCTGTGTCCTGTGCCCATGTAGACATACCTGTGTCCTGTGCCCATGTAGACATACCTGTGTTTTGTGTCCTGTGCCCATGTAGACATACCTCTGTGTCCTGTGCCCATGTAGACATGCCTCTGTGTCCCTCTGTGTAGACATACCTTGTGTCCTGTGCCCATGTAGACATACCTGTGTTTGTGCCCATGTAGACATACCTGTGTTTTGTGCCCATGTAGACATATATGTGTTTTGTGTCCTGTGCCCATGTAGACATACCTGTGTGTCTGTGCCCATGTAGACATACCTCTGTGTCCTGTGCCCATGTAGACATATCTCTGTGTTTTGTGCCCATGTAGACATACCTCTGTGTGTTACCCCTGTGTGTTTTGTGTCCTGTGCCCATGTAGACATACCCCTGTGTTTTGTGTCCTGTGCCCATGTAGACATACCTGTGTGTTTTGTGTCCTGTGCCCATGTAGACATTCCTCTGTGTCCTGTGCCCATGTAGACATATCTCTGTGTTTTGTGCCCATGTAGACATACCTCTGTGTTTTGTGTCCTGTGCCCATGTAGACATACCTCTGTGTCCTGTGCCCATGTAGACATATCTTTGTGTTTTGTGCCCATGTAGACATACCTGTGTTTTGTGTCCTAGTGCCCATGTAGACATATCTTTGTGTCCTGTGCCCATGTAGACATATCTCTGTGTCCTGTGCCCATGTAGACATATCTCTGTGTTTTGTGTCCTGTGCCCATGTAGACATATCTCTGTGTCCTGTGCCCATGTAGACATATCTCTGTGTCCTGTGCCCATGTAGACATATCTCTGTGTCCTGTGCCCATGTACACATACCCGTGTTTTGTGTCCTGTGCCCATGTAGACATACCCATGTTTTGTGTCCTGTGCCCATGTAGACATATCTCTGTGTCCTGTGCCCATGTAGACATACCTGTGTTTTGTGTCCTGTGCCCATGTAGACATACCCGTGTTTTGTGTCCTGTGCCCATGTAGACATATCTCTGTGTTTTGTGCCCATGTAGACATACCTCTGTGTTTTGTGTCCTGTGCCCATGTAGACATACCTCTGTGTCCTGTGCCCATGTACCCATGTGTTTTGTACCCATGTGTTTTGTGTCCTGTGCCCATGTAGACATATCTCTGTGTTTTGTGCCCATGTAGACATACCTCTGTGTCCTGTGCCCATGTAGACATACCCCTGTGTTTTGTGTCCTGTGCCCATGTAGACATACCTCTGTGTTTTGTGTCCTGTGCCCATGTAGACATACCTCTGTGTCCTGTGCCCATGTAGACATATCTCCATGTTTTGTGTCCTGTGCCCATGTAGACATATCTCTGTGTCCTGTGCCCATGTAGACATATCTCTGTGTTTTGTGTCCTGTGCCCATGTAGACATACCTGTGTCATGTGCCCATGTAGACATACCCCTGTGTTTTGTGTCCTGTGCCCATGTAGACATACCCCTGTGTTTTGTGTCCTGTGCCCATGTAGACATATCTCTGTGTCCTGTGCCCATGTAGACATACCCCTGTGTTTTGTGTCCTGTGCCCATGTAGACATACCTCTGTGTTTTGTGTCCTGTGCCCATGTTGTCATCAGGTCTGAGATTCTTTCCTCCACACAGAGGGCAGTCAGTCGAGCCTCGGCATCGGGGTCCCAACAATCTTCTATTGTCTCCTTCAAACACCGGACAGCCTACAACAGCATTATTTTACATGATATAGTAAAGACCCTAGTTCATGTTTTTTTTCTCTCAAGATTTTGCTTTTACAGTGCAAAAATCAGTGACACCAACTGTGAATTTAAAAAAATGAAACCATGAACCTTGTGTGTTCAATTCATCACCTGAACACTTGAAACATCTAATTCCCCTCAACGAGTGTTTGCAACATCGGTTCATGTGTACCAGAGCCTCTAAAGAGTGCTTACTCAAAACAAGAGAGGAATGCCGCGGGATATGACAGAATGATTACTGGTATTTCTGTCATAATTCCCCTGATTAGTTTTTATGTTGAAAACTCAGCCCTAAGCAACAGTCAAGCTACATCAAACCCAACAAACCAGTGAATGACAGCATGAACAACCTCCAACACCGAGTGAGTGAGTATGGTCTTATGCCACTTTTAGCAATATTCCAGTAATATCACGGTAGGGGACACCAGAAATGGGCTTCACCCATATGGTCTTATGCCACTTTTAGCAATATTCCAGTAATATCACTGGTATTTACTGGTTCAGACATGAAACCAAGACGATGCTGCTGGTAACGGATATGTATGCGATACACTGATCGAAAACTGGTATTTTGACATGCATTTGTGCACAGTATGATGAGTGAGCTTGGTTTTACGTATGGAAAGCTTCGGATATTTCCGGTTTTTGGTTCAGACCGGAAGTTTTGGCGACCCCTAACAGACGGAACAATTTATTGTGGTGCCAAAATACAAGGACAAAAGCTTCAGTATGGCAGCATTTGGGGTTGAAAACTTCACGGTAACTGGAACTATTGATAAGACTAACGCAGTATGTAAAATATGCAATGGTAAAGTGAAATGCTCAAGGGGGATGATTAAACGTTTTTAATTAAGCTTAATCAAGCATAATGATTTTGTTCTGGTTTTTTTTTGCTATATAAATCAAGCATTACCTCTATTATGAGTATTTGTTTTGTTAAAAAAACCTTCTTGCAATATATTGCAATACATATCGCAATATATGCTTTCGCATCGCAATGTATGGCAATATGAAAATTCTCTGCAATACCCACCCCTAATGGGTAGGGGTGAAAACGGTATACAGCGGTATTAGAAGAACCGCTGTATGTTGCCTTTGTTTCGGTATACCGTAATGCAATGAAAACATTTGGTATTTTTGGTTTCATTACGGTCATTTCTATCTAGTCATAAAATGACAGTTTTGTTCATTCAAAATAACAAAGATTATGGTTATTTTTCTATCCATGTTATTAAACAAAGTAAGGTTTGGCTCAATTTTCTGCATTATGATCATATCTCATATACCGAAACGGACCGAACCGAAGGCCTTGTACCGCAATATGTACCGTACCGTGGTAAGAGCGTACCGTTTCACCCCTAGACATGGGCTTCGAACATTGTACTCATGTGGGGAATCGAACCAGGGTCTTTGGCATGACAAGCAAACACTTTAACCACTACGCTACCTCACTGCCCCGCACAGTATGATAATTGTTTGCTGCTGGTATCATAGATGTGTTGTTAGCATTTACAGTACTGGTTGTTTCTGTAGTGCCCCTTTTTTCAAAAGAGAGAGAAGAGTATTTTTCAAGACTCATTGTGCATATTGTTTGGTCAGATTCAGCACCATTATAGCTCAAAATGTTACTTGGGACAATTACAAAGAAGGAAGAGTGTCCTCAGCATCATCGTGTCTCCTTAAACAACTCCTTAAATGAAAATTTTCCATTGGCATTAAAGAGACGAGTTCAAAGTGTGTGCAGTTCTGTTTATTGGTATTGCAACTGCAAGTTTTTATTAGCAGCAGGACTGACTGACTGAGTTTGGTTTTACGCCGCTTTTAGCAATATTCCAGCAACATCATGGCGGGGGACACCAGAAATGGGCTTCACACATTGTACCCATGTGGGGATTGGAACCCGGGTCTTTGGCGTGACGAGCCAACGCTTTAACCACTAGGCTACCCCACCGCCCCTTTAGCAGCAGCAGATTGTTCATAAAACCTGTAACTACATAAGTGCTTAGATATGTAGATCCTTAAAATGATAAAGAAACATGTTTGTATATTTAGATTCATAAGGTGCTGGGAGGATAGTAAAGGGGCCATACATGTGGACTGCCTTGGCGGGTAGGAGGATACACATATACATAGATAAGTGGGTGGGTGGGTGAGCAGAAGCATGCAATGCACAAATGTCATTGAACTTTACTAGTCAGTGGCTTGTTCAGCTTACAACAAGAGTAAAATGACAAAATTCCAGTATTTCTGTCACAAACCTGGTTTGTGTCTTTCCATACTTCAGGGAAACGAGGCCTTCTTTTTCTGCGAGTAACAAGGAGCTGCATGTCTTCAAATGAGGGATGAGGACCAGCCTCAGCCTGATATGGCAACATATATTCTGGAACAGGTGCCCCTTTAATAAAATATGAAAAAATTGTTTAGGAGACTCAGCTCAACTTGATGTGGCAACATATATTGTGTAACAGGTGCCCCGGTAACAAAATATAACAACATTACTCAAGAGACTGATCTCAGCCCATCAAAAACACATGATTCAGTAATAGGTGCACTCTCAAAAAAAACATATTGGTGCTTAAGAAAATGATCTTGTATAACAACACATATTCTGGAACAGGTGCCCCTGTAACAAATTATATTTATTGCATAAGAGAACATGACAGCAGCCTGATATTAAAACACACACATATACACAAACAGGTGCCTTTTCACCAAACTGTATCACTGGCTTTAGAGATTTCCTCAATAATATAATGTATTTCAGGGTTAAAAGTACCCCTTCAACAACTGACTGACTGAGTTTGGTTTTACGCCGCTTTTAGCAATATTCCAGCAATATCACGGCGGGGGACACCAGAAATGGGCTTCACACATTGTACCCATGGTCTTCGGCGTGACCCTTCAACAAGACATCACTACTTTAGAGACTGGTACCAGCATCCATTATCAGTTGATGTTACTTTGTTTTGTGACATATGACACGACATGTATACGCTTTAATAAGCCCCGCTCATTAGATTCCAAGACATTTTACTAGACTGAACGTTTTGGCAAAGGTCGCAGACTGTGAAAAGGCTACATATTTTGGAATAAGGGTCACCTTCAACAAACTCTGAAGTCCCCATACAGTTATCTGTCCCTTAAAGTAATGAATGCTGATCTAAACATGATACTTACCTTGGTATAAATCTGTACATCTCATGGATATTTCCCACAAAACCAGGCCAATAGAATAAATATCAATCTGTTTTAATGATGCTTCACAGTCCCGCAGATTCACAGCACCATCCAACAGCTCAGGTGCCATATAACGTATAGTTCCAACCTGAAGGACACAAACAAACAAATGGAGTATTAATCCAAATGAAAGTACATAATGACAGTACAGTACAGTACAGTATAACATAACATCCAATATCACTCATTATTTGATATATTAGCATAATATGTTGCATGTATATTTCAATAGAATGACACATATGTCCCTTTAATAAATGGAGAGGTATACATATTTCAGGATATTCATCTCAGATTTTACAGCATTTGTCAATGCATTTTACAGGAGCTTCATACACTTACAACTATAACACAACTTATCTCCCTTAGTTTGGCGATTGATTGAGCACTTCTCTGTCACAGTAATACATATAAAAGCCATAGTTTGGTCAAAGACACCTGACTGAACAGATTTTGACTGTAGTCAAACCACAATGGTGTCTGAATACGGATCAGCAAATATAGCAGTGTAACCAAATTATTCACAACAAAGCTGAAAATTGGTTGATACCTTGGATAATATTTTCCTTGTAGCCACACAATCAACATTTACCCTCAACTTATCAACATAACCACTCCAAATTAATACATCTCTGCGAGTAAGACCAACCTGGGTATGATCTCAAACATTGGTCGGAGATAATGGCCATTAATTAAAAAGGGTGGTGGTTCAGGTCATATAGGGCAGGACACCATGAAATATGACAGTCCCTAGAGGGTCATGAAGACACATTTTGAGAGGATCCTAAAATGTCCTATTCATGATAATGAGAGAGAGATGGGGGTGGGGATCTTCCAAAAACATTGACAAGCATTAGGACAGGTATCTTCAGTAAGTTAGTGCATCACAATCCTTCAACACACAGTGATTGAGTGAGTTAAGTTTTACGCAGCATTCCGCAATATTCCAGCTATATGGCGGTGGTCTGTAAATAATTGAGGCTGGACCAGATAATCCAGTGATCAACAGCATGAACCTCGATCTACGCAATTGGGATACGATGACATGTGTCAACCAAGTCAGTGAGCCTGACCACCTGATCCCGTTAGTTGCCTCTTACGACAAGCATTGGTTACTGAAGGCCAATATTTTAACACGGACCTTCACGGTTCAACAGACAATTTAAAGGTCACATGCAACGTAAAACACAACTTTGCAGATTCTGATACCTTTCGGTATGGACATACCGAAACAAATCGTCAAAAATGCAAATTCAACTTATAAAGTTGAAAAATAACGCGATGAAAAAAAACGCGCGAAATCGGAGTTCAAACGTTTCACTAATTTTCCCCAGACTTTTCTGGGGAAAACGGGTTTCAACAGCTGGGCTGCGCTCATAGCACGTGCGCAAGTAAATATGTTCAAAGCAGCTTGGAAGCGGGTTGTCGGGTGAATACTGCCGAAGGCTTTCTCGTGTGAGCTATTTTTCTAATGTTTTGTTGATATCTCACAGGCCTGAGCTTTTATATGTTATGACAGTAAATTAACTGTTTATATAATTTCATTTGTCTATTTCACCACACGTTCTTCTTAAGTTCGATACTTAAAAGCAATGTCATTATTGAGCGTTGACAGAATTTCCGACTGATATAGATATGTCGTTGTCACAGACAAAACTCAATGTCTTGTTTTATTGACACCTGTGTGTCTGCCTGCCTGTCTGCTAATGACAATATTCAATACACAGCTGCTATCACTGACCACATGCAATTTGAACTTAACACCAATCAGGCTATACACCATAAACGAAATGCATTGATTTATGGCCCGAGTTCGGTCTCTGTCACATTATGTAATTACACAGACAGGCAGGTGTGATACTTGAACGCATGACATGTTATGATGTCTGTTGATTGTAAAATGTTATACACAAAAATGAGCATGTATTTACAAAACCCAACATGTCTCTATATATATACACACAATTAGCCGTGAAGGCATCTGCAAATGAACCAGCCGTTACACTTGAGTGCACACCCACCCGCTCTGACTGGGTTCGCTATCCCGGCTGCTTCGTTTCTTGGGAAGTAAACCGAAGTACACAATTTTGCACTTTCGATTTGCGATTGTACGCTTATAATTTTGTTTATATAATTTTTGGTAACCAGCAATGTATATCATATGTCATGAATAAGTGATAATTGTGTTTTAATTATGTTTGATTTTTGGGTTGCAATAATGGTTTCTTCGCAGGTTTCCTGAATAACATGGTCATGGATAGCAAGGTTCTGATAAATCCACACATGGTTTAGAACTTTGTGGCTGGTTATGATCAGTAAGTTGGGTTTCACATCGCTTTTAACAGTATTTAAGTTAAATGACTATATGTAGGTTTGATGTGGGAGGAGAGATTTAACTGATGCAGGTCTCAGGTATCTGCAGACAAGTTAAATCTCCAACATTTAATATCGTAGTTATGACAAACACCCCTGGCATTTCAAGCTGAATTTCAGACATACTTACATCTGTGAGTGTTGACTGTTCGGCATTTTCTGCGTGGCCATTTTTTATGAGTTTGGATCCCATAATAGGCATACAGAAGCCCAGATCTGCTATTACACAGGTCAGATCTCCTTTCACAAGAATGTTCCTTGAGTTGATGTCTCTGTGAGCTACTGCAGGTTTGAACTTCTCTGGAACAAGATCAACACTTGTCGTAACACGTTGTATTTGAAACAATCAAACTTTGTAAATGTCCATGTGAGGATTATGTTTTAGAAAATACAGTGGCAATGAAAAATTGTTTGATCTGGATATAAAATATACAAACAAAACTGTCAAAAGCTGGATTCTGTATAAATGCTGAAATGGCTTATTTCTCAAAAACAAAATGTGTCTTGAATCATAATTCCTGAATTTCAAGCCAAGAAGATTGTTGTTTTGAAATGTATAACAGGATATGGACATTTGCCATTATGTTACACAGGATTCACTTCACTATAAATGTTTATCTTGTAAATACATTTCCAAACAATCAAGATTTTAAAGTTGTTTTGGATGTAAAAAATTAAGAAGAAAGTTTCTATAAAAAAAATTGCAAAAAATAATAATACATTTTAAAGGAAAACAACACAAAAGTCATTATTAAGCATTAAAGAAATATCAAGAAAAAAATGTCAAAAACTATTTTGTTTAACTATTTATCTGTTGTTTCAGTGGATCTAATGTATTCTGACCATTGCTCTTGTTTCAGCTAAAAACCTTGGAATGTCAGTCAAGAAAACCAATGAAACTGACTTGAAAATGCATCATAAACACCTGGTTGAAGTATGGAGGAGTGAGTAACGTCAGTTTATGGCTGATTTGAACAGTATTCCAGGTACAACAGAGCTTGTCAGCTCAATGTGGGAGGAAAGCATGAAGTGACGTTTACCACCTTTGCGAAAACCCATGGGCAAACCTAAACAACCCCAGGGCAGGGAGAACCAGAATCTGAACCTGTTATCACAAGGGATGAGTGCATCATACAACATTGTTCAAGAAATTAAAAAAAAGAATAACCATGAGGAACTTACACACAAGGGACTTACACGTAAGGGACTTACACACAAGGGACTTTCACACAAGCACCCTACACGTAAGGGACTTACACACATGGAACTTACACACAAGGGACTTACACACAAGCAACTTACACACAAGGAACTTACACACATGGAACTTACACACAAGGGACTTACACGTAAGGGACTTACACACATGGAACTTACACACAAGGGACTTTCACACAAGCACCCTACACGTAAGGGACTTACACACATGGAACTTACACACAAGGGACTTACACACAAGCACCCTACACGTAAGGGACTTACACACAAGGAACTTACACACAAGGGACTTACACACAAGCAACTTACACGTAAGGGACTTACACACATGGAACTTACACACAAGGAACTTACACACAAGCAACTTACACGAAAGGGACTTACACACATGGAACTTACACACAAGGGACTTACACACAAGCAACTTACACGTAAGGGACTTACACAAATGGAACTTACACACAAGGGACTTACACACAAGCAACTTGCACGTAAGGGACTTACACGCATGGAACTTACAAACATGGAACTTACACATTAGGGACTTACATGTAAGGGACTTACACACGAGGACCTTACACACATTGGACTTACATGTAAGGGACTTACACATGAGGACCTTACACACATGGAACTTACACACGAGGGACTTACATGGAACTTACACATGAGGAACTTACACATGAGGGACTTACACATGAGGAACTTACACATGAGGGACTTACACATGAGGGACGTACACACGAGGGACTTACATATGAGGGACTTACACATGAGGGACTTACATATGAGGGACTTACACATGAGGGACTTACACATGAGGGACTTACAGGGACTTACACACGAGGAACTTACACATAAGGGACTTACACAAGAGGAACTTACACATAAGGGATTTACACATAAGGGACTTACACACGAGGAACTTACACATGAGGGACTTACACAAGAGGAACTTACACATAAGGGACACAAAGGGACTTACACAAGAGGAACTTACACACAAGAAACTTACACGAGGGACTTAGACAGGAGGGACTTACACATAAGGGACTTACAAATGAGGGACTTACACATGAAGAAATTACACATGAGGGACTTACTCATGAGGAACTTACATATGTGTGACTTACACATGAGTGACTTACATATGTGTGGACTTACACATGAGTGACTTACACATGAGGAACTTACACATGAGGGACTTACATGGACCTTACACATGAGGAACTTACACATAAGGAACTTACACATGAGGACTTACACATGAGGGACTTACATATGAGGGACTTACACACGAGGGACTTACACATGAGGGACTTACACACGAGGGACTTACACACGAGGGACTTACACATGAGGGACTTACACATGAGGGACTTACACATAAGGGACTTACACAAGAGGAACTTACACATAAGGGACTTACACAAGAGGAACTTACACATAAGGGATTTACACATAAGGGACTTACACACGAGGAACTTACACATGAGGGACTTACACAAGAGGAACTTACACATAAGGGACTTACACAAGAGGAACTTACACACAAGAAACTTACACGAGGGACTTAGACAGGAGGGACTTACACATAAGGGACTTACAAATGAGGGACTTACACATGAAGAAATTACACATGAGGGACTTACACATGAGGGACTTACTCATGAAGGACTTACACACATGGAACTTACATATGAGGGACTTACACACATGGAACTTACATATGGGACTTACACATGAGGAACTTACACATGAGTGACTTACACATGAGGGGCTTACACATGAGAAACTTACACATGAGTGACTTACATATGAGTGACTTACACACATGGAACTTACATATGAGTGACTTACACACATGGAACTTACATATGAGTGACTTACACACATGGAACTTACATATGAGTGACTTACACACATGGAACTTACATATATAAGTGACTTACACACATGGAACTTACACACAAAGTCATGGAACTTACACATGAGGGATTTACACACAAGGAACTTACACACATGGAACTTACACACAAAGTCATGGAACTTACACACATGGAACTTACACACAAAGTCATGGAACTTACACATGAGGAACTTACACGTAAGAGACTTACACACCAGGAACTTACACACAAGGGACTTGCACATGAGAGATTAACACACGAGGGACTTACACGCAAGGGACTTATACTCAAGCGATTTACACACAAGATACTTACACACAAAATACTTACTCACTGGGAACTTACAACTAACTCATGAGGGCTTTACTCACAAGGAACTTACATATGAGGTACTTATTCACAAGGAACAGTTAATCTGTATTTCAAGAAGTCTAATCTCTGTACTACCCATTCTTATGATAAGAAAGAAAATGAATAAAATGACCATTTGTGAGATAAATTATTGAAAACAATGATAAATCCCATTTCCACCACCTCAGGTCTGTGTCACTCAAACAATATTGACAGTTGACATTTATCATTTTGACATCAGTGTATGAGCAAACTCTTCTTACTTCAAAACCTACTTTAGTTTTTGTGAACGCTGTTGTGCAAGACTTTAATCTACACTGGTATCACCATGTCTAGCAATACATGGCGTCACGACATCTATTTCTGTTTCTGAGACAAACGACACCAGTGAAGACTTTGAAGGCATGTCTGATTACTGATGGATGTGGTCCAGCTACACTATACATTAACTGTCCTCTTACACCTCATAAAATTTCCCTATCTGAAGTTTCTAAAACAAAAATACTTCAAAATTAGTAACTGAACTTGAATCTTTTTCATAAATAACTTCAGTAAAATGATAGGTTTGTTGTTCCAGCTATATGGTGGCGGTCTTTAAATAATCGAGTCTGGACCAGACAATCCAGTGATCAACAACATGATCATCAGTCTACACAACTGGGATATGATGACATGTGTCAACCAGTAAAATATGATCACCTATTGTTTCCTGCTGATCAATTTTATATACTTTTGCATAAGTTGGGATATTAAAGCTGATAGGATTTCCGTTTCATCAGTGATTGTTTGTGTTCAAATTCTATGGCTGAAAATATTCCCAGCGATAATTCAGTGTATTTATAAGATTACAGGGCAGTGGGGTAGCTTTGTGGCTAAAGTGTTTGCTTGTCAGACCGATGATCCGTGTTCGATTCCCCACATAATTACAGTGTGTGAAGCCCATTTCTGTTGGGTTATAATATTACTGAAATATTGCTAAAAGCTGCATAAAAGTAACTTACTCACTCACTCTCTGATTACAATGAAACTGAGCCCGAATATCTCAACAGCTGTCTCATTAGGCCGACAATTAATTATTAATATTTTCCACCAAACTTTTATGAAACGTAAGTTGGAAGACACCTTTTTTTCTTTGACAAATCAAACTGTTGTTTTGGGCATCAGCTGCCAATGGAACGGGTTCATGTGCAGCATGAATGTACGGCAAGACAAATCATAACATGCATTTACTAGGTGAACGGGCACTACAGTGAGTGAGTGAGTGAGTGAGTGCGTACGTTTTTACGCCACTTTTAGCATAGTCCAGCAATATCGCAGTGGGTGACACCAGAAACAGGTCTCACATATTGTACGTGTGCTGGGAATCGAACCCAGGTCTTCGGCGGCGTGATGAGCCACTAGTGACCTAACCACATGGCTACCCCACCGCACCTGGGCTCCACAGGGATGTGAGGCACAGTGTGCTTTGTACAACAGTAGACTGGGCTGAAATGTAATTAATAATTCATTTTGGTGTAATGGACAACTTATATTTTTACTTTTAATTTTGTTTTAATTCATCACTAATTAAACTGTCTACATGGCACACAGCCCACTCCACTGAATAAATATATACATCTGAGACTTCACCTTTACAACATCTACTTCAAGTAAAAATGTAATTTTAAAGATATATCAAAACAAATGTGTCTGACTAAGATAATCTGTTTCTTTGTTGATGGGAGTCATTGAATATTTGGACAAAGAAAATCAAACATAAAGGCAAACTCTATGTACACAAAAATTGCTCTGCATCTTCTTTGTATGACGACTGTAAGAATGTAAGTAGGCAGATGCCATTTGCAACATCAACAATATTAATCTCCGCAGTCATTTCATTGTCTGTACTTATGACTGTCCTTCAAACAACAGAGACAAACAAATAAATCATATCAACAAAGAGAATGTTAGTTTTTATCAATCTAATTATGTGACAGACAATTCTAATCCCATGAATCTCACTTAATATAACAGCTGTAACTAAAGTAAAGTGAACTTTATCAACTCAAGCTGGCCTACTACACATATTGTTCCAAAGTGGGGAATCTGACCCTGGTCTTTGGTATAATGAGCAAACGCTTCAACCACTATGCTACCCCACAAACCCTGGGTGAGTGGATGAGTGAGTGAGTTTGTGAGTGAGTGAGTGAGTGAGTGAGTGAGTGAGTGAGTGAGTGAGTGAGTGAGTGAGTGAGTGAGTGAGTGAGTGAGTGAGCGAGCGAGCAAGTATTATCATGGCAAATGCCACCAGAACACACACTGTTCCAAAGTGGGTGGATGAGTGAGTGAGTGAGTGAGTGAGTGAGCAAGCAAGTATTATCATGGCAAATGCCACTAGAACACACTGTTCCAAAGTGGATAGATGTGTGAGTGAGTGAGTTTGTGAGTGAGTGAGTGAGTGAGTGAGTGAGTGGTGAGTGAGTGAGTGAGTGAGTGAGCGAGTATTATCATGGCAAATGCCACCAGAACACACACTGTTCCAAAGTGGGTAGATGTGTGAGTGAGTGAGTGAGTGAGTGAGTGAGTGAGTGAGAGTGAGTGAGTGAGTGAGTGAGCTGAGCGAGCGAGTGAGTGAGCATTATCATGGCAAGTGCCACCAGAACACACTGTTCCAACGTGGGGAACCTAACCTTGGTCTTCGGCATAATGAACAAACACTTTAACCACTAGGCTACCCAACCATCACTCTCAGCAGAGTTACAACGGGGTATTATCAGCATGGCTTATGGGGTATAATCAGCATGGGTAAATGTACACAGCTAACTTCTGACAATCTATTATTCTTCTGCATAATTTAAACACAGACATGATAATTTGCAAAAAATTAGAAAGTTATCTCAGTGTGCCTTTTTCTTAACTTTTACAAAGGACTTTTATTTTGTACATGTTGGGGTTTATGTAAAGGAATATGAAGAATAGCTAATTTATCTTTGTTATATAAAATCCATAGATTATAATTAAATCTAACATTTTCTTTTCTGGATGTCATTAACGTGTTTATTTCTTAAAGGTTATAGTATATAGTTTCAAGCAATAATACTTAAGTCCTTTCACCGTGTGTCAACCTAATGTGGCTGAAAAGTAGCATTTCAACATTGCCTCTCGATATTGATGTTTTAGCGATACTGTAGTTCAGATTCGAACAAGCAGATTTAGCTTTATCTTTGCTGGTTCAATGATGATTAAGTATGATCAAATGATGAAGTTTTATTAAATATTTAGAGCGCTGGCTACATGCAAAGGTCAAATCAAGGTTAACCTTTGAAACTTAAACTAACTATGTTTCCATGATTTGATAAATACCAAAATGAGGATTCCAAGCAGGAACCTCTTGAAAATATTGCATTTAATTAATCACACCAAAGACATGCATAAATAATCTATATTTCTAATGCATGATATCAACAACCCAGGAAGAGACTCATCTAATAACGTTCTGACTTACCTCCTTTAGTTATGTCTGTGTGCATGTGAGCCAAACCTCTGCAGACTGAGTAGGCCATTTTACAGAGTGTAGGCCAGTCCAACGTGTTATTTTTTAAGTAATTTGTGAGCGAACCAACAGGAACATATTCCAGTACCAATAAATACTGCATGAGTCCATCCTGGGACAGGCTCTCGTCTGCTCCATAAAACTTCAAGAGATTATCATGTTCCATAAACGGCAGCCTGTAAATATTTCCCTCATTTTGATAATACTGTCGATAATGCGGAGTGTATATTTTGACAGCGACCTCCAAGTCATTGAGCAGGCCCTTCCATACTTCACTGTATCGCCCTTTGCTTATGATGCTGCACATCTTCAAGTCATCGATTTCGAAGCCAGGAGGTGGCTGGGCTTCAATGTGTTGTAGAGGGTCATGGATGACACGTTTGTTCGTGACAAACATTCGATAAATTAAATAAACTATTAAGATAACAAGTGCCACGGAGCAGACTGAGACGAGGGAGATGATAATGGTTTTCTCACGATAAGTTGGGTCAGGAGTCGGGCGAACTGAAAGACAAAAAGTCACATTCATAACAACATACAGATGAGTGTTTTCGTGATGAAAACCATGACATGCAGTTCTTGTATGTCTACTGCTTAATGCAATCAAACAAATTCCAGCTGTAACACAGATATACAACTGTACTTTCAGTAAAGCATTGTGTCAGAGCACTGTAGTTCATCTACGTACATAGTTAATTCTTTTAGAGTGAGTGAGTGAGTGAGTGAGTGAGTGAGTGTAGTTTTACGCCACACTCAGCAATATTCCAGTTATATGGCGGTGGTATGTAAATAATCCAGTCTGGACCAGACAATCCAGTGATCAACATCATGAGCATCGTTTGATGCAATTGGGATATGATGACATGTGTCAACCAAGTCAGCAAGCCGGACCACCCGATCCAATTAGTTGCCTCTTACGACAAACATGGGTTATTGAAGAACAATTCTAACCTGGATCTTCATTGGTTAATTGCTTTAGAAAAAGATGGCAACTGGACAAAAGTTGCTGTCATGACCATTACTCAAATACTACTGACGTAAAATCAGGGAACTAAACAAATGAGGGGGGTAATGATGATAAATTACTGGCTGGCAAATCGATATCTGTTGTGTCCACAATGTTGGGTGATACACACGCCACCTTGATGGCATACTGTTCATTAATTTGTACAAGACTGCCTTTGATGTTGTTCTCCTGAAGAGCTACATGATTGCCAGGAGCTACCCCAAGCTGGGCAATGTTCATGGATGCTTGGGCTGTTGTGTACAATAACACCATGGTCAAGAATTGTTGCCATTGAATACCATTAACTGCTATAATTGCTATGTAAAACCATTTTCATTATATTGTACTCCTCAACGATAACTACACTGCAACCCTGTGGTGTTATATTGTACACCTCAACGATAACTACACTGCAACCCTGTGGTGTTATATTGTACTCCTCAACGATAACTACACTGCAACCCTGTGGTGTTATATTGTACACCTCAACGATAACTACACTGCAACCCTGTGGTGTTATATTGTACACCTCAACGATAACTACACTGCAACCCCGTGGTGTTATATTGTACTCCTCAACGATAACTACACTGCAACCCTGTGGTGTTATATTGTACTCCTCAACGATAACTACACTGCAACCCTGTGGTGTTATATTGTACTCCTCAACGATAACTACACTGCAACCCGTGGTGTTATATTGTACACCTCAACGATAACTACACTGCAACCCTGTGGTGTTATATTGTACTCCTCAACGATAACTACACTGCAACCCTGTGGTGTTATATTGTACACCTCAACGATAACTACACTGCAACCCTGTGGTGTTATATTGTACTCCTCAACGATAACTACACTGCAACCCCGTGGTGTTATATTGTACACCTCAACGATAACTACACTGCAACCCTGTGGTGTTATATTGTACACCTCAACGATAACTACACTGCAACCCTGTGGTGTTATATTGTACTCCTCAACGATAACTACACTGCAACCTCGTGGTGTTATGTTGTACTCCTCAACGATAACTACACTGCAACCCTGTGGTGTTATGTTGTACTCCTCAACGATAACTACACTGCAACCCTGTGGTGTTATATTGTACACCTCAACGATAACTACACTGCAACCCCGTGGTGTTATATTGTACTCCTCAACGATAACTACACTGCAACCCCGTGGTGTTATATTGTACTCCTCAACGATAACTACACTGCAACCCCATGGTGTTATATTGTACTCCTCAACGATAACTACACTGCAACCCTGTGGTGTTATATTGTACTCTTCAACGATAACTACACTGCAACCCTGTGGTGTTATATTGTACTCCTCAACGATAACTACACTGCAACCCTGTGGTGTTATATTGTACTCCTCAATGATAACTACACTGCAACCCTGTGGTGTTATATTGTACTCCTCAACGATAACTACACTGCAACCTCGTGGTGTTATGTTGTACTCCTCAACGATAACTACACTGCAACCCCGTGGTGTTATATTGTACTCCTCAACGATAACTACACTGCAACCTCGTGGTGTTATGTTGTACTCCTCAACGATAACTACACTGCAACCCCGTGGTGTTATGTTGTACTCCTCAACGATAACTACACTGCAACCCTGTGGTGTTATATTGTACTCCTCAACGATAACTACACTGCAACCTCGTGGTGTTATGTTGTACTCCTCAACGATAACTACACTGCAACCCTGTGGTGTTATATTGTACTCCTCAGCGATAACTACACTGCAACCCGTGGTGTTATATTGTACTCCTCAACGATAACTACACTGCAACCCTGTGGTGTTATATTGTACTCCTCAACGATAACTACACTGCAACCCTGTGGTGTTATATTGTACTCTTCAACGATAACTACACTGCAACCCCGTGGTGTTATATTGTACTCCTCAACGAGAACTACACTGCAACCCCGTGGTGTTATATTGTACACCTCAACGATAACTACACTGCAACCCTGTGGTGTTATGTTGTACTCCTCAACGATAACTACACTGCAACCCTGTGGTGTTATATTGTACACCTCAACGATAACTACACTGCAACCCCGTGGTGTTATATTGTACTCTTCAACGATAACTACACTGCAACCCTGTGGTGTTATATTGTACTCCTCAACGATAACTACACTGCAACCGCGTGGTGTTATATTGTACACCTCAACGATAACTACACTGCAACCCCATGGTGTTATATTGTACACCTCAATGAAAATGGAACCCCCTGATATTGTATATCAACATCAGCTACTTTGCAACCCTATAGTACTATATTATAATGTAGCTATCATCGAGGTGTACAGTATAACAGACATTGGTTGCAATGTACCTATCATCGAAGTGTACAAAATATTACCATGGGGTTGCAATGTACCTATCATCGAGGTGTACAGTATAATAGAAGTTGGTTGCAATGTACCTATCATCGAAGTGTACAAAATATTACCATGGGGTTGCAATGTACCTATCATCGAGGTGTGCAGTATAATAGAAGTTGGTTGCAATGTACCTATCATCGAGGTGTACAGTATAATAGAAGTTGGTTGCAATGGAGCTATCATTGAGGTGTACAGTATAATACCATGGGGTTGCAATATAGCTATCGTTGAGGTGTACAATACCATGGGTCTTATCTCATAATACAGAACGCTCAGTCAGGTCTTGTTGAGCCAACACTCCTTAATCTGACAATCAGCTTTATCTGACACTAATGTGAAGAGCCAATTAAATCAAACCTATTTAAGACCTCTTAATCTAACAGTCTTGCTCATCTAATTTACAATAGATTGTTCATTAATAAGTCTTGTTACTCTGACACAGTGATCAGCTAATTTCGTGGTCATCTGTGTGTACACAGCCCTTAATATGAGTAGAGCTGGTTAGTGGCTACAAATTGCAACCAATCAGGACTAAATCACATGTTTAATTTAACAATACCTTATGAACAAATGCCTTTATTTTGATTTCTGATATACATTTCCCATTGATGAACTGTATCAGAATTCACTATTGTCTCAAAAGCATGTACAAAATATATGTACACTTATCTCCTCAGTTTTACATTTACATTTCACATACTCTGTGGTACCAGGCTCTGGTTCATTTCATCATTAAAGGCACAATGTCACATATTTACGACAATACTTTGGGCTATGTTATATATATTGGGGTATATGCACTGACTTTAGATTCCTATTGATGCAACAAAAGACTTATGATGGCTTACGACTTGCCTGAATCAATAATTGAAACCTTGAGGCGAAAAGCTTCCAAACAGATAAAACTTGCCATATATGGAATGTCAACAATTGCTCTGTACAATGAAAACTGTTGCACAGCGGTGTTGTCGGTGTTTGCCAAACTGGTTTCAATCACAAGTTTCGTAATAGGATATTCATAGCGGGTGCTACAAGGGACATAACTCTATGGGGTTAGCTTCAAGTAATTTTAGACTGGTAAAGGGGACGAGAGTCGATTTAATGCAATGTTGCATTAATTCATTCAAACTTTTTAATTTAATCTTGTAATCTAAATACGTAAAAAAAGAAATGAACAAATTATATGGTAGCTTCCCCGAGGGCTGATAGTTAGAGAAATGCATTATGTATTTTTAGAGAAATGTGGTGTGACATTGTGCCTTTAAATAATATATTTCAACAACATGCAAACTCTTACGTGGTATACGGGGTGCTTCTGAGGTGTGCATATCAGGCTTGTAAACATCAGTGACGTTCTCATTACATCTCTCCCCGCCTGAGCAGCAGCAGAACTTGGAGTACGTCTCAGACACTCGCTTGGGAGGGTTGTTGGACCGGCAGGACTTGTCAAAGCATTGGTTCTGGTCTCCAATCCAACATCCTGAAAACAGACAATCATACTTAAACACTGTGAAACTGCTCTTACCTTTGTCCAAAAGTGATTCTGTCAAGTCTCAGTCTAAAAGACAAACAGAAATGAACACATCCTTTGGCAGATGACCTGTTTGAAGATACAGAACTACAAGGCTCTGTAGCTCACATATTATAACAAGCACAGTTGGCCGAAAAATAACTCTTAACCATGTTATGTTATATTTGGGATTACACTTTCTCAGTAAAGTACATTTTCTAGTACTCTTGTTGGCGTGAGTCCCACACTCTCCAGGTCAGGCACCTAATCGCCAGCACATAAAGTCAGCCATCTGGCCCACTTTGCCACCACACCATACTTGTCAGAAGGGTACACAAAGTCCATGATCTAGACTACCAGTTGTCCGAATTCTTTTTTGCTGGATGCCACAATAGCTGTGTTACATTTGACTGCTTTCTAAATGGCATTGCGTAAACCATATCTTCATTGGTACAATGACAAGCTGGTTTACAAATATGTGAATGCTTATCAATATCAGGGCCATTTAGTCAAGGTTAATGTTACCCAAATCTTTCAAAAGTGGGTCACTATCCAAGGAAGTTTAATTATAAGTCTAATGATATTTGTAATTAATGATATTTGAGAAAATGAAAGCATGAAGTTATTGGTGAGAATTCCTCTGATCCATGTGAAATAAGTCCATAGTGAGATATCCTCTGATGTCAACAGTCTTTTGCAATAATCAAGAGTAATAATGATGCACCTTCGTTGAACCATCACCTCAGACGTGACCTTGTCCAGAACTGAAACTGACGTGTGAGTGAGTGAGTTTAGTTTTACGCCGCACTCAGCAATATTACAGCTTTATGGTGGCGATCTGTAAATAATCGAGTCTGGACCAGACAATCCAGTGATCAACAGCATGAGCATCGATCTACGCAATTGGGATACGATGACATGTGTCAACCAAGTCAGCGAGTCTGACCACCCGATCCCGTTAGTCGCCTCTTACGACAAGCATGGGTTATTGAAGATCAATATTCGTACCCAGATCTTCACGGATAGAAACTGACATGTGATGTTTGTTTGTTTGTTGAACACTGCACTCAGCAAAACTGGATGAAGTTTGATGCCTGAAGAGTTAAGAATGCCTCAAAAAACTGACAATAATGTAACCATGTTTTGCAAATATGTTATTCATACACCATACATACTTCATCCGAAATGGTTGCAGGAAAGTTGTCACAATGCACGAAAGAACCGTATATGACCATAGATAAGCTGATCTCATAGATAAACCGAGGTCCTAACTTGACCCTAAAATTAGTATGAAGATGGTATGTTCCAAACCAATAACTTTGTTCATCTTCTCATCGTGATCAGTCTTCGGGAAATAGAATGTCTCCAAATCCATATTGAATTACGCAAGTAAATCCTGCTGTTACATTTTCTTATTCAAAGCAACAACACTCATATTGCATCCACTCACGCCTCAAAATAAAGTCTAGTAGACAGAATATGGATATGTACAAATAATTTGTTTGCTATAAGTCACATTTATTGTAGCTGGATGAGCACATGTAAACAATCGCACGAAACCACAGCAGTGACAGGTCAAACTGTTCCATACATAAACAAATCTGGCAATACACCAAAGTGCTGCCGCATAACATTAGTTATGATCATAAATATTTTACATTTATTGAGCAAAACCTGCAATAAAAATGACACATTTCAAGAACATATTTCTCTTTGTAAAATAATAGTTCAGAAAATGTTTTTTTCTGCTCCCCTGTATCCGAAAACATTTGTTATATACTATTGGGTTTGTTTTAACTAAATCATGCGTGTACAGTTGATTCCTATTTCTGTTTATGAGACAAATACACACCGTAATCTTAATCCCAGTATATAATACAATGCCCAACAAAAACAAATTAGAACTTGAAAGGTAAATGTCTAGCGATGTTTAATTGTAATTTGACGTCTTCACCGACAAAAGTCATTTTGTCTTGTTCATTTACATGAATCAATACGGTGTTGTTTTCTTACCACCAGAAAATGAGTTTGATGAAAGTGTAACCTATAGATAAGTCAACCACTTTCTACAAACTGTTTTTTTTGGGGTGGACTTCAAAATCCGGCTTACTACGGTCATATATGGTAATATTTTGAATAGTGTTGTAAGGCAGCCATGATGAAAGTTCAAAGGCCTGGTGGTGTCAGAGAAATGTTGGAAGATTACATGGCAGATGGATGAAGATAGATACTGCTAAATGACTGAAATAATCATGCTTGAATATTTTATTACCTTTAAAACTCCACCACTGGGGCCTTGTTCCATAATGTAAACTGAGTGCTACGAATGTAGCTACGGCAAAAACCTAACACACACTGACCGGTATGACACTTGTAGTGTTAGTATCGCCTTGGTGAACTTAGGCCCAGATTGTAATATTATTACCTTTTCAGATAGATTCACACAACCGTGAACAAGGTGTTAGGTAATGTAGCAGGTCATATCAACAGTTTCCTGTTCTCAGAATCAGGACAATATCTAGTCTTCAATAATTCAAACGTCATACACATTTTCCCTTTGATTCAGGTTCGTGGTACCTTTCGAAATGTGTAAATTAGGCTGAGTTTGGACTGTACTTGGACACCAATGATATTGTCTAAATTATTCAAATATGGCACATGCAACTAGCCAGCTCCCAGACACAAACACAGAAGTCGGCCCTTCCTCCCAGTAATAATCAATATGTGATGATCAGAGCAAAGGGCAGTCTTCTAACAACTGTCTGCGCTTGATCACATTATACCACCAATAAGCTCAATAATATCCTCAAACACAATCTGCTTCACACAGAGGCTCTTTATGAATGTCCATACTAAGCACTTCAATCATACAGTGATACATTTGCAACAATGTATTACATACACTGTCTCATGGTTCCACTTGTAAAGCTCATAACTCCATACTTTATGTTTGCTCAAAGCTTTGTATCATTATATCACCCCATCAATGGATCAGGGTGCACTTGACTTTTCATTCTCAACTCCCTGGGGAGTATGTAACCCACGCTGCCTGTAAGGCACCAGGTTAACTGCCACATTACCATCTCATCCTACTGGGCACCCAATTACTGCTGGACACATTTCGAACAAAGTCACATGTCCGTACCACATTTGTTTGAGTGTGCGGCAGACAGATGCCCTAGAAAGTCTCCAGAGTCAAGCTGACTGGCGCCGCCAGCTATCTGAGGACTCTCCGCAGCCAACATGACTTGTGCTCTCTACACACGACCATGTACAATGAACAAGGGAGAAAGTTCTGTGGTTATGTAACTTCTTTATTCTTATATGATGTCAGCTGCATGATAATGATGTGAGCATCTACACCGAAACGACCCGAGCATCTACACCGAAACGACCCGAGCATCTAAACCGAAACAACCCGAGCATCTACACCGAAACGACCCGAGCATCTACACCGAAACCGTTTTAAGCATCTATACCAAAAAGCCTCATACTGTCATAAAGAGGCTATATATCCATAGAACTATGTCCCTAGTTCATCACACCAACTTGTAAATGCCACTCAAAGAAGTTACCATGTGAAACCTTTGATCTCAGATGTACAACTACCTATATCATGGGTGAAAAACCATTCCTGAGAGCAGCACATGCATCATCAAAACAACATAACAACTAGTTGACAATATGTGACCTATGACCTTTTGAACATGACTGACACAAAACATGACACAAGAAGATCCTTATTGATTGGTTGGTGGGTTTGTTGTTTAATGCCGCGCTCAGCAATATTACAGCTGTATGGCAGTGGTCTGTAAATAATCGGGTCTGGACCAGACAATCCAGTGATCAACTGCATGAGCATCGATCTACGCAATTGGGATACGATGATATGTGTCAACCAAGTCAGCGAGTCTGAGCACCCGATCCCGTTAGTCGCCTCTTACGACAAGCATGGGTTAGTGAAGATCAATTTTAACCCGGATGTCGCCTCTTACGACAAGCATGGGTTAGTGAAGATCAATTTTAACCCTGATGTCGCCTCTTACGACAAGCATGGGTTACTGAAGATCAATTTTAACCCGTTAGTCGCCTCTTACAACAAGCATGGGGTTACCTAGGACCAATTCTAACCCGGATCTTCACGGGTCGACTGGATGTGGGTAATATAGAGTGTCTAAAGAGGTGTTACTTGATTGTCTTTGGATGTTACCCACTTCCATCCATTACAACAATGAAACAGCATGCATGGACACTACAATATACAACTTATAAACTATGCACTACTACATGGGCACTACAATATACAACTTATAAACTATGCACTACTACATGGACACTACAATATACAACTTATACACTATGCACTACTACATGGACACTACAATATACAACTTATAAACTATGCACTACTACATGGACACTACAATATACAACTTATAACCTATGCACTACTACATGGACACTACAATATACAACTTATACACTATGCACTACTACATGGACACTACAATATACAACTTATAAACTATGCACTACTACATGGACACTACAATATACAACTTATAACCTATGCACTACTACATGGACACTACAATATACAACTTATACACTATGCACTACTACATGGACACTACAATATACAACTTATAAACTATGCACTACATGGGCACTACAATATACAACTTATACACTATGCACTACTACATGGGCACTACAATATACAACTTATAAACTATGCACTACTACATGGTCACTACAATATACAACTTATAAACTATGCACTACTACATGGACACTACAATATACAACTTATAACCTATGCACTACTACATGGACACTACAATATACAACTTATAAACTATGCACTACTACATGGACACTACAATATACAACTTATACACTATGCACTACTACATGGACACTACAATATACAACTTATAACCTATGCACTACTACATGGACACTACAAT